AAAAAAAAAAAAAAAAAAAAGACTGAGTACCCTGCCCGATAGGCACACTGTTGCTACCGGGCCGCCTCGTACAGAGAATTCCTCTTGGCTGCCAAGCTTGGGACAACTCACGTTCATGCCCCTAAAGGTAGCCCTCTCCAGCAGTGGGGACTGGGTCTGCAGGGGGCTCCCGTCCCGCCCCTGATAGGAAGTGGAAGCTGTGGCTGCAGATCCTGAGGTCGGCACCAGGTGTCTATCACAGGGATGGAGAGAGGCGGAGGTGCGGTGACTGGCCATGGCTGTGTTCTAGACCTGTGGCAGCTGGGACAGGGTCTGCTCTGCGTCATTATCCATGGAGGCAGCTGCAGCCGCCACGGCCTCATGGGACCCGGCAGCACCCACCGTAGCGCTTGCAGTGGGCATCCAGCGCTCTGTAAGTGTTGTAATACAATGAATCCCCGTAGCTCATGGTGTAAGGCGTAATGCTCCGGATTGCTCCTTATATTGCTCAGTCAAGTCCACCACGCGGCCTGAACGATCTATCCGACACTCTTTGGAACGGTGCCCGTCTTTCCCGCACCGATAGCAGCCACTCTGGTCTCCCATCGCGGGCGCAGCCCTAAGCCGGCTGGTGGACAAACTGCACGTGCATTCATTTGCCTTGAAACCTATGTTATCAAGGCCCCTGATGGCCTTCACTGCCTCCTCTGCCCGCTCCATGTGTACGAAGGCATAATCTTTCATGATATCACATTGGATGACCGGCCCATGTTCCTCAAACTTGGCTGGAAGCTCCTTTTTGATGCAGGTCCGACTGAGGTTGCCCACATGCAACTTTGTTGAGGTTTTGCCCTTACTCTTACTGGCTTCCACGCCGATGTTCACCCTGTGAAGATTGTAATGGTGCAGGCTTCATACGGCATCTTTTGCTGCAGTTTTATCTTCTATGTGCACAAAGCCATAATTCTTAATGATGTCACAATCCAGTACCTTCCCATACTGCTCAAAAAGAGAGCAGATCTCCTGCTCTGTGGCTTCCTGGGGCAGGTTTCCAATGAACAGCTTCACCATCCTGACAAGAGCCCGCACAGGAATCAGCAGGGCCTCCTCGTGGCACCAAGGCTTCTGACAAAACACTAAAAATCACAGGTAGGGTCTTTAAGACCATCTAATCTGGCCTCATCATCTGACAGATGAACAAACATGAAACCTCATCATAAGATCACACAATTTGATGGCTTTTTGTGTAATTTTCTATCTTTCTGCCAGCAATCTCCCCTTCTCCCCTCCACCCCTACCATAAAAAACTAACTGCTTGGTAAAATGAATATTTCATTTTAGGGATGCAAAACCCAAATTGTGTAATTAATCCTCCCTTTCTTGTCTTCTCAATATATTTATTTATAATTTAATTTTTTTTTTTTTTTTTTTTTTTT